CTGCCATCGCCAACGGTCAACACCTGCAGACTTTGAGGGACATCTTCTCTGAGCGGCTCCAGTACAGAGTCACCTACTGGAAGAATAAGAGCACTGGCAAAGTGAGGAGCACCCACCACAGACTGACATCACAACAGCAGTCTTTAACATACGTGAATGACATCACGGGCCTTTCCCTTCTGTTGTCCACAGAAAACATCCAACTACAACACAAGTATGATAAAGGTGACTGGCCTGGATCACGGGGAGAGCTACTGCTTCCAGGTCCAAGCCTACATCCCCAGCCGCACTTATGGCAAGCAGCTGGGAGACCTGAGTGCCCCGCAGTGCTCAAAAGACGAGAACCAGACCATCATAGAAGGTGAGCTCTTTATTTCAGCACAGCACTGACCACGAGCTGCTGACCACGAGCTGCTGACACAGCAGCGGTACAGCAGGATGTGATTTATTTGACTAACAATCGTCTGCAGAAGCCTGCTGACTTGATGAGTAACTTATCATTTTGTGAGGTGAAAATAGAGTTTTCACAAACTCTATGTGTTTATTTTTGATGCGGAGGAGAACACTAACTGTTAAGGTTGCAAAAGCTCTGTAAAGTGTTTGAACACTGGGCCAGGCTTTCTTCTCCGGTGTGTGTCTGTGTGGGTGTGAAGCAGCTGGGAGACAGAGGTGAGGCAGTAAATCATGCCTGGATCTGATGGTGTTTATTACACGACTGTGACTCCAGTTCAGTCTACAGAATAAGAGGGCGGGGCCAAAATACCAGAGCTTACACACAATGCTGTGGTGCTGGGATGTCTGCCTTTGGGACAGGGGGCGCTCCAGGACCCCAGCACATCCACTTCCCACGGCCTCGTGCGGATGTGCGTCCAGAGCGTGTACATCCGTCCGTAAATATTTGGACTATAAATTCACAGCATGTTTATTTATTGTCTGTGTGAAACAGGTGGTCGTCAAGCACCTCCAGAGTTCTTCATGACTAAAACAACATTACATCTACTTTTAATCCAGTTTTATTTATACAACACGTGACCTCAGTGTGCTTTATATGTGATCAATAACACAAACGTGTTAAAGTGAGCGTTGGTAGTAACTCAAACAAAAACAAGGACATCAGGATGTTTCCCCTCAGACTGTAAAACCTGTGAAAAAAGCACTTTCATTACTCTGAAGCTGTTTGTGATGAACTACAGCTGCAGTGTGCCGTGGGTGCACAGATTCTTAATAGAAATCCCACAGCGCCCCCTACAGGAAGCTGCTACAGTAACAGGCAATAACCCCACACGGAGCCACGTCACCGTGGACGGCACGTCTGTCTGCAGATGTTATTCTGAATTAGCAAACAGTGAAAGTAATCACATTACTCATCACTTTGTTTTGTTTTCAGAGTAATGCAGTATTAATTAGTAAAGTTAAACCAAGTGTGTGAATACGTCATTAATCCTCCGTGGTCACAGCGTCTCCACAGCAGCAAGAACAGTGACTAAATAAATAATACAATATTTTACAAAATATAACAAAACAGCTCTAATTACTGGAACATTGATAGGTATGTACAAATATCATTACCTATGAATGTCACTTATGGATAATAATAATGCATTGCATTTATAAAGCGCTTTATTCATCCACACACTGGTGGAGGCAGCTACAGCAGTAGCCACATCGCGCCATTGGCCCCTCTGGCCAACACCAGTAGGTGAAGTGTCTCGCCCAAGGACACAACGACCGAGACTGTCCGAGCCGGGGCTCGAACCGGCAACCGTCTGATTCAAGATGAACTCCCAACTCTTGAGCCGCGATCGCCCCGTTTGTTGAGCGGTTTGTTGAGTCTGCTGGCGTCTGTGAGCCTCCACAGAGGACGGCGCCGACCACAGAGACTCACAGAACATGCTGAGCATTGTCCGACAGATGTTGAAGGACCTCAGAGACGACTGGCCCGTCCTCTAGAGGGCGGTGGTGCTTCTAACCCAGTCCAGGTGTTTTCTGTGTGTACTCTGAGGCATTTATGCTCCTCCACGACGTCCACATCCACCTCCTGGACTGAAACAGGTCACAGGTTTCTTGGTCCTCCTACAGTCCACAGTCTTTGGTCTTTGTCACGTTGAGCTGCAGATGATTCTGCTCACACAGCATGCGTGTGACTGTGTTACACGGTTCAAACACCACACAGAGTCTGCCTGTGAATTTGTGTGAAAAGCTTCAGTGTGGCTTGTACTGTAGTCTTAAGTACTCTGAGTACTTAGGACTACAGTACTGTATAAAAGCCAGCCCATCCGTACTCCCGTGCGGGTCACTGCTTAGAAATGAGCAGTAAAGCTTTGCTGTGACAGACTGTGTTGTGTTTTCCACAGTGTATTCTCCTGCAGTGATCATTTCTGCCATCATCCTCATCCTACTGCTCACCGGGATCATCATCACCGTCACAGTGGTGTGCTGCAAGCGCAAGAAAAAAGCTGCAAACGGTGAAAAGAAGGGCGTAGTATAAAGTATGTGCTTCACTGCACATCTCTGGCGGTACGTTGAACTGGACACACGGACATATGTCGCTCAGCATTCCTCAGCCAAACACTGGACTTTCATTTAGTTTCTGTGAAACAACCTTATTTGTGACACTGGGAAGATGGGAAAACTCTGCTGAAGCCCTGCTACAGTATGTACTGATACTGCAAATACTGCATCTCCTTTCCTGGTGCCTGTGACTACTATAGTAAAATATAACAGCTTATTTTATTTAATTTACAGTCTGCTGTGTAAATGTAAATCATTCTTAGACTGTAGTGGGGATTTTACCTTGAAACACATTTTTATGGAATCAAAATGTAGGATGTATATTTTTGTATGTGGTGTATTTATTTTATTGTGTTTAACTGATATTAAAGACAATAAACATGTTACTCCTTACGTTTGTGCATTTTACTGGTAAAAGCAGAGCATCGCTGGGCTTTGGTGGTCATCAGCAACACAACAACATTCAGGGGTCAGCGTTTTGCTGGACGCTGTCTGAGCTGATGCAGGATGAAACCCAGCGCTTGGCTCAGACCATCAGTTTAATACATTTGCTGCAGCAGGCTGGATGTGTCACGTTGTTTATTTACAGATAATTTATAAACAAACACCTTCATTATGTGTTGATTTACTCAGTGCACGTGTTTGTTTTTGTTATTTTACATTTTCCTGGTTCATTTCTTCACCAGGTTAAAACGGCCGTTTATTAATTAATTAATTAATGTTACAATCCATGTTAAAATGTAAAATAAGGACGGTTAAAGGATTTAGACAGATATGGAATTTCTTGGAATATGTTTAACGAGTTTTCAAAGAGCATTTAAAATGTATATGGTCCATTTTGACCAGCATCCTGTTTTATTGTGAAAAGCTCGTGATTGTAAGAGGAAGTGAATGTGATTGTGATCAGTTGCTGAGAAAAGCTGTGAGGAAAGTACGAGATGTTAGTCCAAGTGTGTAATTGTGTACGAGCTGGACTATCTGCTGGTCTTTGTCAGTCGCTGCGAGCAGCTGCTCACTCTCGTTTGAGCATCAAGAGCCTGAAACATCCTGAACATGTCCACTGATGACTCCTTCACACGTAACTCTTATGATCTAGTGCCATTTCTCAGGGCTCATGCTGCTCCATGTGACTGTCTCAGCCACAGATGACAGCTGCAGACATAAAGCTACAGAAAAATGACCTGGTAGCTCACAGACATCATGTCCTCCACCCTCTGGAGACATCAGAGCCTATAGAAGCCATGTCTAATATGAGTCCAAGTTTGACGTTTAAAAGACGTCCACAATGACCACACAGGGACTGTAAATAGCCGCACACGGAGGTGCTACGGACGTGAACACTAGACTAGAGATGGACCGATCCGATATTACGTATCGGTCCGATACTGACGTAAATTACTGGATCGGATATCGGAGAGAAATAAAAAATGTAATGATCCATTAAATATCAAACAAGCACCTCACAAAACTTGCGACATGGCGTAACTCGGCTCATAACCGTAACATGTCGGAGCAGTGTGGTCAGTGATAGAGCGACTGTGTGTTTGTAGCCTCGCTACCAAACCAGCATTTCATCTCTGAAGTGATCCCAGAGAGAAGTAAAGCAAGTGTGTAAGTTCATCTCTGAATGTTTGTAAAGCTTAACAACCGATATATGGAGCGACTCCCTCTTCTTGCTGCTACTTCAATCATGAAACTGCTTAATGATCAGCTGATCGGCTTTTCTCTTCTTTGTTTTTGGCCCACTTTGCAGCAGAAAGAGGAAACCAGCGGCTGAACAACAGCAGCACGTTTAAGCTTGATCAGCTGTTGTTAGAATGTATTTAATATTACTTTCTACACCAGGATCTTTTTCTACAGCTGACGGCTGTAACTGTGCAGGGGCGGATCTAGCAAAGTGTAGCCAGGGGGGCCGATGGGGCATGAACAGGGAAAAGGGGGCACAAAGACATACTTTTCTTTTATTTAAAATGTCTAGCTTTTAATAAATAATTATCTGAATCTGACACCCAAAGTTTTAATCTGATGTAAAATGTATAGAAGTCCATCACTGTATATAGTAACTGTTAAGTCTAATAAACCCTAGTAAGCTATACTACTTTTTCCTTTGGGAACCATCTGTGCAGTCTGCAGTTCTGTTGAAGAAAGATGTTGAATCTATTTAATTATTCTTGAAAAATAATTGATTCTGTGCATTTTCTTTCACACTGCATCAAATTAAAGTTGATTACGTCGATTAAGCATCATGAGGTGGAGCGTGGCTCCCTATTTTTTATTAGGTTATTAGGTTGCTTAATATTTCTGCTAAGTGCTCTTTAAAATACCAGAGTAGGGAGGATGGAGCAGGTTTAAGTTTATTAGATTGATCAGTTTTGCTGAACTATGAAATATTTTGGGTGCAGTGTATTTTTTGCATACAGGTGTAACAGAATAGCTTTAGTGTTGTTGTTTATTTAAACTTGAGTATGAACTCATACAAAAAGCAGCAAGATATTAAAAAACAGTTTTATTGATTAAAAACACTATATCGGATTCATCAGTGGGACTGGACTCCATATATTACAAAGACGTATTAGGGACACATTAAGAGAAAAATGTTGTCAATCGTTCTGAGAAAAAAGTTGAAAGTGTATTTCAAGAAAACAAGTACTTCTATTACTTTGTGCTAACATATTGATTCCAGAGGGAACGTTGCACATGTTCTAAAGAACAAAGCTTTGACGTCAGCCGCAATCAGGTAGCTTCATTATAGATGATTATCACCATCATCATCATCAATCACAGCATCTGATCGATAACTGATCAGGAGCCGATCAGTGCTTAATTACTTTTAAACCGTCTGTGACTATGAATGTGAAACTGAATTTACATTAAATTTGTTTAACAAAAGCAAAGAAAACAATGCTGATGGTTACAAAATAGTAACGAGGACGTTATTCTTCACACAGGCTGCTTTTCTATAACCGAAGCAACAGTACTCAACAAAGTAACTGCAGTGTTATTGCAGCACCTTTAACGTACAATATAAAGTGCCTTGAAGCGGCTGCTGTTGTGATGTGGCATCATATATATTTCCCTACATGCAGGTATGTACACATACACGCTGATCTATTCATAAAGATTAGAAGTGAAAAGCATTACATTTGAAACTGTTATTGATTAAACAGCTGTTTAATTTCACAATAATTAAAAGTTGTAATTAAAATGAAGGTTTTATCTTTACAGAGTGCCAGAGTACATGACACAAACATGGCTGCTCCTGATGGTTACCGATCTCTGCGGCCTCAGACTTTGCGTTTTGGCAGCTCAGCCTGGTAAACACATTTCCCATCTGTCTGCATGTAACTGACTGTCATCTGACGCTCAGTCACTTGGAAGAAAGCCAGGCCTCCTGCTGTGTGATTGACAGGACTGGAAAAGAGCTGCCAGGACGGAGGGACACTGCTGATGTGACGAGTGGAATGGTCACTGACCATCCCACTCCCGCTGACAACATAGGAGCTCCCATCATCCTCTCTGATGAACTGTTGGAGGAGAGAACAGAGAAACTGCGTCTTCTTTTGATGGGTTGGATTGTCACACTTTCTACACAAAGATCAGGAACTAGCATCTCTTTGTTTAACATTAATATGATCTCCTCTGGTTTGGGGCACAGAAACTGATCAGCAGTCAGAAACACTTGGTCAACACGTCATAGCACAGGACTGGTTGTCCCAGCAGGTCAGTGCGATGGACTGAATATAATGGAGACACTTCACTCCCTTGTTTTAACTGGTGAACGTGATGTTCTGTATGTGAACACACCTGCAGATCATGATCATGGCCACACAGGTAAACGGTGACTCCGTACTTCTTCAGCAGAGGCCGTAGTTTGTCGACTAGACAGGCTGTAGGTCCGTGATTGCCAATAGACCACACAGGATAATGACCAGCCACCACCACATAGTCAGACCTGCACAAGCCAGACAGCCTTTAAACTCCCACACAGAGGGACCAGCAACACCAGCAGAGCTAACTGGGTGTATGTTTCCCTCTCTTTGATGCTCTTCTTTATTTGGTTTTCTGTACACTGTATATTTATTTAAATCCTCATTCTGCGTAATATTTGTCACACAGTTGTATATCAAACCTTTAATAAATCACAAATGTATCTTTGTATTGAGTGACATCTGTGCAGATAACTGGTCAAACGAATCTGTGTTTGAATCACCTGCTGCTGGCCAGTTTAGCACTGATCCAGTTCCACTGGTTTGCTGCTGCCGTGGAGTCCTCTGGTCCCACAGGCTGGACCTGGTCATTGGTGTTTCCACAGAGCACCACCGTATCAATCATCAGGATGCTCACTGACACGTTTGTGTGTGGAACAGTAAACTGAAGATCGTAATAAAGAGCTGGGTAATTCCTACAGAGACAACACATCATAACGTCCAAGCAACACTGAGGTCTGGACCCTTGAATCATCTCAGTTATCACAGAAACGAGTGTACAAAACATCAGAGCACGTTTCAGCAACGTCTGAAACACGATTTTAATGCAAGTCACATGATAACTAGTTCAGGTCAAAGCTACAGGTGTAAGAAGACTGACCTTCTCACTCAAACCTTGTCTGTATTGCTTGATATTTACCATCGGTGGGATATGTTAGAGTAAGCCATTTGTGCTGAGATGTTGCCGATATGGTCATGGTTTCCAGCAGTTAGGTACCACTGTATATCCAGTAGAGATGGCTGCGAGAAGACACCTTCAAATGTGTTCTGTGGAGGAGAAATACCTCACAGTTTATGTCTGTGTAGGCTCTCAGTCGTCCAGCTCATGGTAGTCTAAGAAGCTTTGAAAGTACTGGACTCCTTCTGTTTCACCTGTCATCAAAGAAGCTTCTGCAAGTCTAAAACCTGAGGTATTTAAACCCAAGAGAGTCCCTGACCCACTGTGGATTTATTCCACAAACATGAGTGTGCCATGGGCTCCCCAGTGTCACCCATTACAGCCAAGCTTTACATGGAGGAAGCGGAAAATAAAGCACTTAGCCACTGGCACAGATACGAGGATGACACCTGGGTCAAAATCAGAACCCAGGAAGTAGAAGCCTTCACTGCTCACATGAGCTCTGTGGATAGAAACACACCAGGGCAAAGGATGACTGTTCACTGTTTCTGGACTGTGCCGTGCGCACGGAGGTGAACGGAAACCTCAACACTGACGTTTACCAGTTTACCAGGACATCTGCATCTCAAGGACAAAGGTCTTTCGAGGATGTCAGTGTTCACATTGTGGGCAGAGAAGACAGATGGTTTGAAAGAGGAGTGAAAGAAGTTATCTATGTCCACTGTGAATAATCATCTTTAAATAAAGGCTGCCTTACATCACCAACTGTCTGCTGGCTACGATGCAGTTTCTCTTCCAGGTGCCTGACATTTACATCAGGTAACCTCAACAGGTCACATGACAGGGTAAGGCAAGGTTCCACCTGAAACATACTTATCACGCCTCCGTTCTTGTATCACGCCGTGACTCACGTGACGAGGCTCGTGATCAGTAGTGGGTCAACAACTCTTAGCCTGCAGTCTGTTAGACTGATGATAGCGTTAACAAGCTGCTAGCTGCAAATAATCATGTGCAGTTCTGAAAGCAGACTATGACCTCACCTCAACTAATGCCAGCTCGGTGGTGAGTAGCCTCAGTAACACTAATAAATCACACAGCAGCAGTACATTCATGTAGTTGTAAAAGCATGACAATAGTAATCCAAAGTATTCAGAATCCCTTACTCACATTGAGTAACTGAACAGAATATGTTACTAACTACATTTTGGGGCATGTATTCTGTAATCTGTAGTGGAATATGCTTTAAAAGTAACCTTCCCAACACTGGGTACCAGTACTGTCCCTCCAGTCTTCACTTTGCAGGGAATATGGTGATCGTGTGTTTCTTTGGAAACCTCAAGCCACATTTTGCAGCTTTCTGGAGTCCAGCAGAGCTAAACATGGACAAGCTTCCTGTTGCTATGGGTTTCTTTTGGTTCTCTTACCTATTGTGAAGTTCACAAAGAAACTGGCAGTGAATAAATTATCCCTGCTCATCTTCACTGTAAAAGAGTGAAGCAACACCAGTGAGAAGTGCTAACTACAAATCTAAAACTATGCGTTTGATTTGTAACATTTTAGTTTTTAGCCAAGGAAATGACATCACCCTGCATAATCCTTTAGGGTAGACTAAACTCTGAAGAGATGCTATTCATCGCAAAGTCTGGGGCTACAAGAAGAGCTCAACAGAATATATCAACAGCTGTTAATGCATGGGTCCTGATATGATATACCTTGAAGCGTGGGTCTTCCACATCCTTGACGCCGCTAAAATAGAAGTGATCTCCAAGGCTGAGAACAAAGTCCACCCCCTCGGATTGGGCCAGTCTATCCATCTCTGCAGCAATATCTTTCTCTTGAGCAGTGTAGTAAGGAGGAAAAGGCAGCCCACCCCAGTCTGCAAGCACCACAAAGTTCAGCACACCTACAGACAATGAAGACACTTTTCTCAACACATGTGCACCATCCACAGACAGATACATACATGTGAATGGTTTTGTGGTTTAAAAACTATGTGTGAAATGCCTTAATGAAAACAAATGGTGAACATTCAAACAGACAGGCCCTGGCCAGATGGTGGATTCACACCCACAACCTTCTTCTTTATTACTTTGGCTGGGCAACAACAGCACTAAATATTGTGCCCCATGCTGCCCTCTAGTGGTGCCATATGACCTAAATCAGTGGTTCTCAACCGTTTCACAATGAGTACCACCTCAATAAATATATGGCTCTTAAAGTACCACCCTTATGACTGACATTAAAGTACAGTAGTATGGGCCTATTTAACACCACATATAGTTTACACAAGACAATTTTATTTCTTATATGAATGAATTTTATTTTAACTTTCATAAACAGGACGTGACAAGTGATAATAATAACAACTGTACTGCATTAAAACATTCACAGCAGGTGGGATAGCCAATCTTTAAGTGATGACCCGATGAAACCTGCGTCAGTCCAAACTACTCTGAGATTATTAAGGCTGTTGTGTTTTCAACATGTTTTAATGCTTTCGATCTTGTTCTGTTTTAATCTGATCAAGCCCTGTTGGCCTCTCTCGGTTTTTATTACCACTGTTCATTTTAAAGCTCAGTTTTTAAACCCTTACGATGTAACTCCAGCCCATGCAGCAGTATATGAATGACTAACCTCATATTGCAGTTGTTCTCCTGACTGAAGTTTGGACCGTTTACAGCATCCTGTCATGCGACTGCCAGGGGCGTAATTTCCAGAGGGATTAGGCGGGTTATGACCCCCCCCTCCCCCGCCATTAATCAGACCCAACCAATATAACCCCCCCAATAAAATTATGAATTATCTTGCATAAATAGGCTGTTGATTTTCTTTACTCATTTCAGTTATTACCAGCAAAATAGTTGAATGTTTAATCATCTGGGAATTTACTCAGATTTATTTATTTATTTAGACAGAGATCTTGACCCCCCCAATGTTCAGCACAAAGTTACGCCGATGGCGACTGGATTTGTCCCTAACCATCGGGAACCCTCACGTGAACTTTTACAGAGTGGAAAAAAGTTAGCGTTCATCCTCCATCTTCACTGTTTGTGTTATGCTAACATAGCTGTGTAGTTAGCGGTCACGTAGCACATCATTATAGACCAGCTAGCCCAACTTCAGTAACCCTACAAACGTCACTGCTGTTTAGTTTTCTGTCTTCATTTATGTTGGAAGTGATAGCAGAGCTGTACGTTTGATTTTTGTTGTGGTGATTAAGCTGCCGGATTTTTGGCTTCACAACTCTTCGTGGTCCGTGGACATCGAACCTCAGTTTGCTCTTTGTGGCATTTCAGAAACAAAATAACACCATGTGGTGGCCTCGCTGGATCTGCTGCGATGACCCGCTGTGTGATGACCCTTCTCTGGGCTCCCCCCACCCAAGGGAAATTCACCGCTCTCAAGGCGCTGCTGCTGCGCCGCTACTCCCTCTCCGATGCAGAGCGGACCAAGATACTCCTCTCTCTCTCAGGCCTGGGTGATGGTACCGCTCTTGAGCTCATGGAGCGCACGCTGTCCTTGCTAAGAATGGATGATGGCGGATTTCTCTTCACTCATGTCTTCCTCTGACAGTTGCCGGCGCCAGTGCCAGCTGGCCTCGCCAACTCCCCGCTGCTGGCCTTGGAGGATTACCGCTCACTCGCAGAAGAACCAGATCGTATTCTCCTGGCTACTAGGAGCTTTGGCATCCAGGTGATAGTTTCGACGGCATCTCCTGCCCACCCACCGATTCTCCCGGGGGCCTCTGACTCATCGATGGTGGCTGGGATCGTGGCACGGCGGCGCCTTGGAAAACAGCTGTGTTTTTACCAACAGCATTTTGGCACCACAGCACGGCGCTGTCTGCCGCCTTTGCAGTTTCAAGGCACAGGGAAACGAGCCTGCCAGCGCTCTGTAGCGGCTGCGACCGCTGGCGATAAGGAAAGGCTGCTCTTCATAGAGAACTCATGCTCAGGGAGACGTTTTTTCGTTGACTCGGGCTCCCAGAAGAGTCTCGTGATGTCTCATGTCGTCTTTGCAAACCTCCACAATGGTATATTCTTTAATCCTAAAAACAATTGGAGATTTCCTGCATACCACTAGAGAGAGCCCAAGTACCACCAGGGGTACGCGTACCACAGTTTGAGAATGACTGACCTAAATAACACTACAGCTAACCGCGCTAACGCGCTGACACCGTGCAGCCCCACGCATTGGGCAATCTGCGCTAACTTGCTAACGGAGATTTGCTGGGTTAATGCAGTTATGGCGTTAAGGTCATTTTAAGGAGATTAACGCTGACAGCACTAATAAAAACACATAAACGGCCTGTATTTATATAGCGCTTTACTAGTCCCTAAGGACCCCAAAGCGCTTTACATATCCAGTCATCCACCCATTCACACACACATTCACACACTGGTGATGGCAGCTACATCGTAGCCACAGCCACCCTGGGGCGCACTGACATCTTTTGATGTTATTATTATTTTTTTTATTTAAATGGTGTGCAAAAGTCTCAAGACATCTTATTCCTTTATATTTTGCTTCCAGGGAGTCAGATTGTTGCCAGACTTTGCATTTTTCTTTTTCAACACAGCTCTCATGTGCTGGCTCATGCCCTGCCCACCTCACGTTTGGGAGACTGTAATACCATTCTCTTTGCTCTCCTCAGAAACAAACTTCTCAGTTGGCTCCAAATGGTACAGATGGTACATCTACACAAATCTGCACCAATGACTGTTGCACCCATTCTCAGCTTCACTAGCTCCCTATCCACATTGTATTCAGTACAATATTTTGGTTCTTTGACTCTGACCTCCTTCAGCCTTAGACTCCTTCTCATGTCCTCTGCTCAGTCAGCTGCTCCTCACGTCAAACTGGACACTTCACATGTTGGAGTCTTTCGCTGCGCTGCACCTTGACTTTGAAATTCATTACTACACCTTCAACAGCTCGACTCTGACAGAGTCAAATCTCAGCTCAAAACTTAACATTTTCATTTGCATGTCAACTCTAATCATCCTTAACTTTTTAGTATTCCTATCTTCTAAAACTGTTCTTGTTATTTTGTGTTGTAGGGGCCAACAAATAAATATTATCGTTATTATAACGCTGACCTATCAGTCATTCAAGCCTTATAAAGGTACCCAGCTCAAGGGATGAACCAATGATGCAGCTACACTAAACACACAACTTGGCAAATACCCTGTTTTGTAACTTTGGGCACTTTATTAGCAGCCTGTCACAACAAGGAAACAAAGTAATATGTTTAAGCTCAAATATAAGGCTCGAACCTGAGACTCTTCATGTACTTCCTGTGTGACAGGTCATCACACTGTAAATCAAACCTAACACTGACTAACATAAGCAGCAGCCTACCTTGTTCCACAGCGTCGAGACCTTTCCATAAGTTAAGAAAGCTTAGAATCAACACTATACACATGGGCCTGTCCATGGCTTCACTGTGCTCCCGTTTAAAACCGAAACAAACCTGAAACTTCCTGCATCAGGCCGGGCGAGAAAAACAGGATATCAGCTGATCAGCAGGTCAAAGTACAAACTGACTGCAGTTGCTCTAAGCAGACACGTTGTGACACACTGCAGCGAGTAAAAGAAGTGCAGACCTTCACACGGATCTTGCAGTATTTTCTGCTCTGCATGAAATGATTTTAAAGGAAGCTCTAAAGACAAACCTCTGAAAAAAGCAAAAACATAACGAGATTAAACACCTGTGTGGGTGTTTCCTGTGGTTACAGTGTGCAACTTTTATTATACTATCATTCAAGGCTAACGACGACAGCAATTCCTAAATTAGAGTAATTTAACTAAATACAGGCTGTGCAGAGAGCGCTATGCTGACTGGTGCACTGACAGGGTCACAGCAGTGTGATGTTGTCACCCTCCGTGGAAAAGCAAGCCTCGTCATCACCGGAGGCTCCTCGGTGCAGAGATAGTGATGATGTTCTGCAACAATCCCACCCAGCCGGGGACCGTCCACCCTCCAAGATAACCATGCTCGTTCCAGTAGGAAGTGAATTCACTTTCACTGATGTAGTGCCAGACAGTTTCTTCACTTCAGTCATCCCCTCTGATAAACAACACCCACGTATCAATAACAGAAAATGTGACATTGGTAGAAAAAAACTTGGTGTTTCATGGATGCTCCACAACTCACAGGTGCATTGTCCTTGTAATTGTGTTACTATTTATGGGCAAATAAGAGAAACATTGTTACAACAGAAATAAAATCAACCAACACGTTTAGTTCTTTTGTGGTAATTTTATGAAAAGCAATGTTTTTAAGTTTCTTAAAAATAGAGATGGTGAATCCAAACTGGGAGAACTTCAAAGGAAGCCAGTACAGGAGAAGTCTGCTCCCTGCCAGTACTCACTGTGGCGTTTTGGATCAACTCAAAGCTTTTCAGGGAGTTTTTAGGACTTCCTGTTGACAGCGATTACAGATAGAAGTAATAAACGTATGAAGAAAAGCAGTCGTACACATTTATATTTTGGTACATGGACTGGCTCTCATGCACCGCCTGTCTACTCTCAGCACTTTATACAAGAGTCCTCATCCACCCCGTTTATAGAATCACGTTTTTCCATGTTTAACTGAGCTCAGGTAGAGAACGGGAACAGGGTTGATGTGCAAGGCTGTAGCAACTACAGTGTGATGATATGGAAACAGCATCTGAAACTAGGGTGAAGACAGATGTCGTGATCAGCAAGCAGCAGTATGGATTCATGAGCAGGAGCTGGACCAGCACACATGTAAGCACAGCGAGACGGCGGGGAGGCGTGTCATAGATGAGGCAGATGGTTCACATCAGAGATCAGCTCTGAGCCTCCTCTTGGTCTCAACGCTGATGGACAGGTTGAGCTGCAGTGAGAGTGGAGAGCCAGGAGGGGTGGAGGTATGTGCTGGATCGCTTTCAAGATCGACCTCCATCACTGCAGAGCAGCTCTTGCTACCCGTGTTGAGTTCCCCAAAAAAGTCTTTTTGTATAATTCTGAAGTTATTATTTTTAACCTGTGGCAGTTCAACACTTTGCACCATTTCATTCGTTAAACGAATAACTGGAAACGTTGGGCTGTTCTAAAACGTTACAAATCCATCTCTCTGTGGATGCACAGACACAAAAATCGTTTCTACAACTCTTTATTTCATTAATCTGAGGTGAGATAACATTAATTATAGAAAATACCAACACAGTTAAGGCTCCCCTTTACATTTTTAAAACATTAGTATAAGGTACAAACCCCCAAGACAAACACAGTCCCACCACCCACAGAATCTACATTTCATTCATGGAAATTAGTAATGACACATTGGGAAGGGAAATGCTCAAAGTCATGATTTGGTGTTTAAGTGTGGACCAGTTTTATCATCACTGATGAAAAACAGGAGAAGGTGCAGCTTGACAACCACCAGGTTCAAATGACTGAGCTCCAGAAACACAGCTCGTGCCGTTACCAACAGTTTTTCATAAAAACGCTGCACTGAGCTTAACGAGCTGCATTCTGCTTCTCCATCTCTCCACTGTTTGTTTGTCCGATCACACAGTCAAGATATTCAGACCAGCTTTATAAACAAGAGCAAAGTTCTGGAAAACTACAGGCTGCCGTCTGTGACAGTACTTATGTGTTTAACAAGAAACAACCACAGGCCTCGATAACTTTGTCCCACAGCCAGAGAAAAAGTCATCGAGCAAACTTGTTTTAACTCCATGACACATTTAGACGGCCTTTATCCTTCGGCTTTGAGAGCAGGGGAAACAGCCAGTAATGACAGAAGCAGCAAGCACATTTATGCCATCAGATAAGGGGTTCCTCCCCACAAACTCCCACAGGTATTATGACCCACAGCTACATGTGAAAGTTGAAATGCTTGCTGGCGTCGTCACCTGTGGGTGGAGTGCAAGATGTCCCCCTGGTACCACAATTGAAAACAACAAACAAAAACAAATAAGCAGTCATTGTGAATCTGAACCAAGTTTAGCTAAAGGTTAGCCGAGAGCGAGGCGGACCCAGAGTGAGAAATGTGAGTGGTTGCAACAAGGCGAGATGTCCTGTGTGACGTGTTTGTGATGCCACAGGATCCGCCTCCTCACAACTGCTTCCATAAATGAGCTCATTAAAACATTAATTACGAGTGAAGGACCGTCCAACGGTCAACTCTCATCTTCAGTCAGAAGCTCCCAGACAGACACATGTAGGCAGCATCACACTCACATGAAGAACAGCTCCTGCTCCTCATTACAAGCAAACCTGGTACTGTTATGATCCATGACTGCAGTGGTGACACAGTAGCATGAGTCTATTTCTTAGTGTGAAATAGCCTAAAGGCCCGAAACAGACGTTTGGCAGTGAACAAATTATTGTTTCGACAGGACAACAGTGATAAGGATTTAACAGTGCGTAGTTTGAACTGCTGCCACGAGTGCAACCCACCCACCAAACAAAAACACTAAACAGAAAGAACACAGGACGGGTTTCTAAATCAACAGGAAGTCTGCGCCAGTGTCAGCAGCTGGTAGTTATGAACCAAACTCGACTGTTTCCTCTGTGATGGGCTTGAACTCGTAGTTTCCTCGTCCATCCATGTGCAGATAATACTACAGGACAGATCCAGAAACACAGAGTGAGTGTGGGAAGGAGAGAAATAAAGAGACCAGTGGATTAAAACACATTTACCAATACAAAGATGTCGTTTACAACAGCAAAAAGATCAGTTACAAATGTAACCACGTGTCAGATGGTTAGGTAACAGTAAGCACCAAGATCAACATGTTTCTGTACACACATGAAGAAGACCTGGGAGGTCCGTCACTATTCACAGGTTACTCTACAGTGACACAAAGACTTTGTTGTCATTGGTTGACTATACTGCACAAACTAATGAGCAGTAACCCAATGAGACATCAAGGAGGCTCAGGATAAGCTCAGTCATAAAAGCACCAGCACGTCGTAGCATTGCCCGTTTCACTGACGTTAGCATAGTGGTGACAGCATGGATCCGAGCACAGCTTCAACCAATAGGATTCCTCTCTTCATGATCGCGACCAATAAGATCAAGAGACTCAGCGGCCAACATTACACAGTGTGTGGCACATCACATACTGTACAGTTTATCAACACTGGACATCGTAATGACTCTGCTTCTAATCATAGTGAGTAGATGAGGGGGGAAGCTTTGGTGCCCCTGAAACAACAAACCACCCTGAGTACAGTTGGTTTGAAGCCTTAATCACTGAACGTTACAGACGTGTTAGTCTGAACTGTGCACAGACTCACTGCTCCCAAATCTGCACTATGAGTGGTCTGCTCAGCCTCAACAATGAAGCCGAGCGCTGACACAATGACAGGATCTGCACTTTCAGGGCTCGCAAATGCGACCAAATTTTTCAGTGGTGCGACTAACAATAAATATTTGGTTGCACCTGTGCGACCAACTGTTCGGGTAACAAAAAAAAAAAAAGTCTCTGCAACTCTCCATGTGGTCAACAACAGACACACATTATGCCCCTATCGTGGACTAAACCAATCAGAGATAGTCAGGGGCGGGACCTCTCTGATTGGCCGTGGTCCAGTTGAAAGTGCAGGTGGAAGAGAGAGGTGAGTAGCTTGAATAAAGCGATATCGATTCATTAACGGACTCCACACAAAGACGTAAACACAGAGCGGACCCAACGCATCAGAATCAGTCTTTCTCGGCTTTCTCACCCGACGGCCCGCAGACGGACACGCTGTCGGAGCTCAGCGATCCTGATGCGTCCGGTCCGCGCTGTGTTTACGTCTTTTTGTGCTGATTCTGAGCTGCAGGTTTTGTCTCTCCAACCAAAATCCACCGAGCCAGCAGCAAAAGAAGCAGCAAACTGCGCTTCACATTTGATCAATGTCGTCATGAATTCTGCCGTTTTGCATCCACGACTATTAAAAAAAAAAAAAAAAAAAAAAATCACACTTCCTGCACAGCTAGCTCTCTCTCTCTCTCTGTACTTCAGGAACAGTTTCCGTCTCCAATCTCTGTTTTCTGTATTATTCATTGGCTTATTACCCACCAGTCTACCGTTGTTTACAGCGCTGTGGCTGCTGTCTTTTTCTTTTTTCACTTAAATGACCTCGGACAAGAAAGCCTGATTTCTGTTGTTCAATACTGAAGAAATTTAAACTTCTTAAAATTGTGCAAAATTGCAGAACATTGTAGAATATTTTTAAGGTTATCTGCTATAAAAAGCCAGACCAGGAAAATCTCCTTCATGTTTTTCTGTGTTTTATTCTCAGTTACTTTCACACGAAGGCATCTGCTGTGATGTTCACAATTCTGATGAAGTCAGTGCTGATAAATGATCAGAATTATAATATTTCTGACTGTCTGAGGCTAAGTTGAATCAAATCAGGACTGAGAGAACCAGAATCGAATGGATTATAGAAATCAGTGATGATACCCAGCCCTAGTGAGCAGCCTAGGCCTGAGAGAAGTGGATGTAGCTGTGGGTAATGAGAAAAGATGAAAAGAATTATTGATAACTTTTTTTGTTAAGTTAAGGCGTGATCTGTCTGAAATTCATAGCCAGCTCTGACACGGTGCCATCAATATTTGAATGCTGAAAAAGCACAGTGTATCCAGGAAACACATTATATGCTGCAATAAATGCACTGCCCAAGTGTTCCCTCTACCACGGCCTTTCAGCAGCAGACAGCAGCAAACAGGTCGTCAGAGGAGCCGAGATGATGATTAAGTTTAACATTTTCTACAATATTGACAAAGCACTTTAAGCACAAGATTGTCAGTTAATAATTTAGAAATGAATATTGTCTGTATGGACTCCCCCCCAAAGAAAGTGCACATGTAAAACTGCGGTGTTAAGTGATGCGGTTGAAAAATTTGAGTGCGCCTAACTTTTGTGCCGGCACGCCTAAATTTTTTAAGTTAGGCGTACCAGTGCGCCCATGTCAAAAGGTTAGTCTAGAGCCCTGGACTTTGAATCATAAGAACATCCAGTCCTACCTCATGATGTTTCCACAGGGATTTCCTGTGAGACACAGTGAACAAGGTGATGCCCACCTGTTGAGATAAAAAACAAACCCCCGTTTTAAAGAATACCATGGTGAGATTTCGCCACATCATCTCCAACCCTGCTGCAAAAGCTCATAGTGTGTTACGGCCCCAGCAGGGCCTCCTTTCAAATGGACCTGTTCATACAGCTGACCCCCATCAGAGTTTAAAGGTACAGTGGGGCAAAAAAGTATTTAGTCAGCCACCGATTGTGCAAGTTCCCCCACTTAAAATGATGACACACGTCAGCAATTTGCACCAGAGGTACACTTCAACTGTGAGAGACAGAATGTGAAAAAAAAATCCATGAATCCACATGGTAGGATTTGTAAAGAATTTATT